ATCCCAGACTTAGAGAAGCCTGGAAATCGATGAAATCCGGAAATCCTGTAAAAATGACTGAAAATGGGACGCAGCGGAAGTTAGCACGAGATTTCTATATTTTCGCCTAATATTTTTATTAACGACTGTGCCACCTTTGCTCTTAAGTGTGCCAGACAGAACGCGATCAGCTCTGTTGGATGGCGAAATTAGTTTTCGAAAATATTGTTTCCTTAAGTTTTAAACTGAAACATGCTAATTTTTTCAATGCGACAAAAACTTAAAATTTTCTATTTTCAACTAATATTCTTGATGAAAGCTGTGCCACCACCTGTGCAGATACGTATGCTTGATACAACTTGACGAACTCTATCGAATGGCATGTGTGAATCTAAAAGATATTCAAGAAAAAGCAGTCTGAGTGTAAAATAAACTGCATTTTATGACTCTTTACAGTTTGACCTGATATTCTTATTGAGAACTGTTCCAATTCTAAAAACAATTGCAACAGACAGAAGTCGTCGAGATCTTTCGAATGTTATATTCACCTTTTAGGTATATTGTTCCATTCAATTCAAGAAGAATCAGATCGAATTAAATCAGGCGTTGATCCAAAGAACTGGTCCGAAAGTTGGATACGGGTACGCGTTCCGTTTTTTTTAATTTATCCGAAATCCGTAAGGTTTTAGTGGGAAACTACAAAATTTTAACGTGTCGTCTTTGGGGCTACATGCTAAAATTGATCTTCTCCGTTGGCCCAGCTAACAGTCCGCTTTTTCGCTCTTTTCCAAAAATTATTGCAATAAAGCTACAAACTAATCTAAAATTGTAACTAGATAATTAAGTAGCTTAAACATTTCTCTACAAAATGAAAAGTGTCTCGGGTCTGAACGTCGATTCGTTCAGAAGGCGAAAATATAGAAATCTACTGCTAACTACTCGTGCGTGAAAATGGGGTTAGGCAGAAAAACATCACAAAAATTCTTCCGGTTCCTCGAAGTCAAGGAGAATCAGATCGAATTAAATCAGGCGTCGATCGAAAGAGCTGGTTGAAAACTGGCGCTACAGTAGCTTAAATATTAGAAATATTGTTGTTTTCAAAGAATAACCGAAAGAGGGTTTCGTAAAAAGAGGAAAAGTTCTGTACGGAAGAATAACACGTTAAAACGCTAAGGAAGGGTTAGTTTCCTTAATTTTGTCGAATGATCTGTTGAATTCCCCCAAACACTTGTAAATCCTCCTGGTTTCCAGCGTATATTACGTTTAGTACCACCATCAAATTTTTCGATTAGATAGCAGATTAGACATGTGCAACTCGGCCCGAAAGTTGGATACGGGTACGAGTTCCGTTTTTTCTAATTTATCCGAAATTCGTAAGGTTTTAGTGAGAAACTACAAAATTTAAACGTGTCGTCTGCAGCAGGAAAAAAAGCTTTTAGCTGGAAAGCGAAAAGGAGAAATTTCTAGGCAGAAGTCGGGGCGGGTACGGGTGAAAAAAGAATTTTCTTTTAGTGTTATACTAATTCTAATAGTACGCATTATACAACGATTGTTGACCTTTTTACTGAAAGATTTGAATTCGGACGAGGTTTTTGTTGATTTATGATATTTTGTAGCAGCATCGATAGTACAGTAGTCGCTGTGAATGACACAAGAGAGAAATCAATCGTAAAAATTATAAGTGAATGCGCTTTTTACCACGTACCATCAAAAACGCTCGCTTGACGTTTCTTGATCTCAACACATTCCGAAAGTGTCAGTTCGTATCACTTATCATTTAGTTCGCTGCTAAATGTAGACATTCGGATATTAAAAGTATTGTTTTCTCAATCTTTTTGTGTTGTACTAATTCTAATAGTACGCATTATACAACGATTGTTGACCTTTTTGGAATTGTTCTATTTCAAAGTTCTATAGTGTATTATGTAGAGAGTGGTATGCTTTTCAAAAGATAACTGTTTTTATCGTAGGAGCTTGAAGTTTGGCTTGATGCGTCGGGAAAAACGTCGATAGCTCTCGAACAATGGATTTTCAAGATGTGGTTTGGGTCCAGTTTTGTTGAGGACACATCTAACTATACACATCTATTTATGAAAAGAATGCATAGATTTCTATGTCAGTTTTTAGAGAACCGAGCTGAGTTTTCAGAGATCTCCTGAAAAACGGGCCTTTGAAATTATTTCCAAAATCGTTTTTGGTTATGAAAATTTTTGGTTCGGATATTAAAAGTATTGTTTTCTCAATCTTTTTGTGTTGTACTAATTCTAATAGTACGCATTATACAACGATTGTTGACTGTTTTGCAATTGTTCTATTTGAAAGTTCTATAGTGTTTTATGTAGAGAATTGTATGCTTTTCAAAAGATGCAACTGTTTTTATCGTAGGATCTTGTAGTATGGTGGAAGAGGATTCAGTTTAAATGAAAATTTTGATGTTTGAAATCTTCACAATTTCATTTATGTCAATTTCTTTTAGCTTTAACTTTCTTTTGAAAGCATGTTTTTTTGAATCCAGCATTTTTAAGGCTCGTCACTTATCTTATTTTTGGAAGCTTGTAAAATCAAAATTCTGGCCATCTCTGGCTTGATATTTTCAATCTGGATAGTCCAACCGCGTCTGTATGTAGCCGGACGAATACTTATCGCCTCACCAACAAGGCGCTTTTGTTTACGACAGTATAATAATGGTGAAGTTAACGATCTGGTCAGCACGAAGAAGTTGTTTTCTATAAATAGAGAAACCAGGAAACACCGAAGAACCATGATATTGATCACTTCTAACGGTTGAGAATTTAAGTCCGTTTCGTTGTGGCAATGCTAGTTCTCAGAAGTAACATTTGAAGCCCGATAAACGCTGCAGATAAAATAGAGTATTTCCTGAGATTTTGAAGTAGGTTGGATGGATTTTAAGTGAGTTATGAATTTTTTAATTTTTGAAGAAAATAATCGAAAATGGGTTATTTCACTTAGTATAGGTTTCCACTCGGTTCTTGCATTTTGTTCTGCGAACTAACATTGCTGCAAGATTCAGCATGGTGGATAACCTATGTCATTCATTTCTGACAGTCTCAAACCTAACGGCAGAGGAGTGCTAAGGCTTCAGGAAAAACTTTCATAGCTCCTAAACCATGGATTTCCAAGATATCGTTTTGGTCCAGTTTTGTAGAGGGCACTTTGAACTGTATACTTATGGAAATGAATTTATAGATTTCTATACCAGTTTTCAGATAACCGACCTGGTTTTCTACAGATCTCCTGAAAAAACGATCCTTGAAATTTTCCCGAAGTCGTTTTTGCTTATGAAAAATAGCGTCAGATCTTGGCCAGCGAATGAGAAAAATCGAAAGCCTCTATCTTTTATTCCTTGTGGGTTATTCAAGAAATAACTGGGCTTGCATTTTGGCGCCGATAGTAGTTAAGGGACCCCTCCCCACAGAAATTATCTCCGACACCGTACATCAGATCTTGACGAAAATTTCCATAAATGTTCAGCACAATGAGTTACGGGAAAGAAAAAACTTTTTTGTCTCTAAGTCTGACGGTTTAACATTTTTCCAGAGATCAAGGTCCAAAAAGGACCTTGAAGTGCGTCCCAAGATCTTTTAATATACTTCAAGCTGGAGAGTTCAGATTTGTTTTATTTTAAACTAGATATCTAACTATATGGACTGACCGGCACCGATTTTCCAGCTAAGCCTTTATTGGTTTTCCAGACAACCAACAAGTTCCAAAACCCGAAAAGGCCGTCTTAAAAATCCTCAGTTTGGCAAAAAACCAAGATCTAATTCAAAAACCGACGCCGGTAGGTTGATGTAGGTTCTTTTCCTCTTTTAAACAAAAAAAGAATGAACTCTCTACGACAAACCTCTATCAAGAATCTTGGGGCGCACTTCAGGTGTAACTCTTATATAGTGAAAACGCTGTATGAAATACTTGATTTTAGGACTTTTAGGAAGATGCCTGTAACTTTTTGATGCAAGGTCATACAGAGTTGTGCGAGATCTTATCTTGATCAGAAACGTTTGCTCTACAAAGCTGTGCTTTCAGAAAAATTTTAATTGCATGAGTATCGAGGAAAAAACTATTATTTGCAGACCCGTTTTCTCGAGGCTCTAGGAAACTTGCTCAAAATCCCTGAAAAACCAGTTTTATAACCAAAAGCAATACAGATTCGAGAAGTAGACACTTCAGGCTATCTTTCCATGTGCGTATCTCAAAATCGATTTTTTGACCGAAAATCACCATTTCTGAGGGAGGGGGGGGGGGAGGAGTTCCTTAAGCATTAAACAATATACAGAAAGAGAATACCGAATAGTATCCTTTATTATGAAATGTTAATGTGAATAAAAAATAGTTTTATTAATTTCTATAGAATAAAATGGGTGCTTCATACAAAGAACATACACTCAAATGTCAAGAAACCGATAAAAAAAAATCGATAGTTCTAAAATGTCTTCTGTCATGTGATGCATCTTTAGATAATTTGGTTCATATAAAATAGAGGTTGCCTTCAAGAGCCTTAAAATATGAGACGTAGAAAAAAATCAGTTATTTTTATTTGCTTTTCTATCATTACATGTCTCGTTGTACAACTAGTCATATTTTCAAAAGAGACTCTACTTCCAATTTCTTCCACGATTGAATCATGTAAAATTCCTTCAATGCCTCCACTACCAGAAGGCTTTTATCTATCAAGAATCTATTCCGCCTTTTCCAATTCGTGTTTATTTGATTATGATAATAGAGTAAAACTATTTGGTAAACATTCTGTATTTAACTACAGTAATCAACAATTAGCCATCGATTGTTCACTTAATGCTAGTTTGTCAATTGTATTATCGCCCGATTATTTAACAGAACGTAAATGGATTCCACCGTTGCTACTAAGACGTTCACCAAACGAAGTACTTGTGAAACAACGACAACAATTGTTAGACGATAAATTAAATAGAGTGCGTAATGCAAGTAAAATTCACATAACCATCAGTGAGGATGAAGTCTTTACAGGTAAGTTTACATAAATATAGTTTTGCTATTAATTGTAACTTTCAAAATTTCCAGTTAGACAGATGGTAATCCTTTTCGTTTCTCATTTAGAACAAAACTGAAATAAAAATAGTTTAATTCTAATTAGTGAATAATGAAGTGGATGTTCGAGCTACTACATAGCACATTGTAATTAGTTACTCCCCGGCCTCTAAGTGAACACAGGCAGCAGAGTGGAGAGAGAGAGAAGAAGACAAAGCAGGCTGGTGTGCTTCGAAAAAGTTATCTTGCCTTCTTAACAAAATGAACTTGAATATGGTTGTATACAGGAAGGGGCACTAATCGATGAAAGCGTTTTTAAATTGAGACGTAAAGTTTGGTGGAAGTGAAAATATTATTCTCAGTAAAAAGTTATTCTACTAAGGCTATTCAGTGTAATGTGTTTCGTTGCTTAATCCAAGGGGGGGAAACCTCACTTTAAGTGTCTTTAAGTGTGTGCACCGTCGAGGATGATTAAGTGTCATATCAAATTCCGCAACTTCCTGGAAAATCAAGAATTCAGCCCTATATGTTCCAAAATATAAAATATATGGACTGCGGCTGTTCCACGTCATACGAGTCTGTTTGTTTTCATCGTTTTAATGAACACAGTTAGGATACATCTATAGATGTGAGTAGAAAATCAAAAATGTACACGAAAAAACTGTAAACAGTATTTACAAAAAACTGCTGTTTGTTTACTGTTGTTATTTTACTATGTATAGACGGGCGATAGATTTTTCACAATCTTTCTCTTTCTCTATTACTAATCGTTCGTTCACTTATGGATGCTACTCACTCGAAGTAACGTCTCTATCTTATTCTTTGATCTGTTTTCTCTCTTTTCCATTAATACATAATTTGTATAATTTTACTTGACAAGAATAAAATAGTTCATAATTATTGCTATTATTGTTTATGAAGTTAATAATTTAGTTGAGAGATTTTTTGAACTTTTTTCTTTCATATTTATTAAATATATATTAAATAAACGTTTCGATATATTAACATATCATCCTCCGTAGTTTAAAAGCGAAATAGTTTAGAGATTCATAATCTAAAATTATAATCATTTTTCAAAATTTGAATAACAATGTTAACATGACATATACAATGATAGAATAGGAGTTGATAAACATCATATATAAGATTTATCTATATCTTTTTCTTATTATCTGTTGTCTCAGATCATACCTCGCATTTTCTTTTCTATACTGGATTACTTTCTCTTCTCCATCTTTCAAACTATTTCCTTTTTTTTCTTTATCTGTTTGTATCGGAAAATTGTGTAGATTGCAAAAATGCTATTTATGGCATTTACTGCGAATGTAATTCATTGTATGTAGGTGAAAGTTAATGTTTCGACAGGAGAGTTAAACAGCATCAAAATTACTCAGCCAAAGCAAAAGTAGAATTGTCAGAGATTGCTAGACATGCTGTTGCATGTAAAAAAGAAATAAAATTCGAAGAGTATCATTTTCGACAATGAGTCAAACATTTTCAAACGGAAAAGGTTAGAAAGTGTATATTCTATTATCAACAAAATCGTACAATAATAAAACAAGAATCAGCCGTGGGTAGAGATCAATAGATAGATGGATAAAAAAAGACAGTGGTAGAATGTACAAACAGATAAAGAAAGATAAGAAAAATAATTTGAAAGCAAAAGAAGAGAAAGGACAAGAGAAAGAAAGACAGAAAGTAATCCAGTATAGGAAAGAAAATGCGAGGTATGATCTGAGACGACAGATAATAAGAAAAAGATATATTCCCCCGAAAAAAAATAGTTTCACTCTGTATTTCTCATTTATTATCACTATAAAAACACATTTATTTAAAACAAACTACATATTCTGAAGTTCTCTATCACCCTGTATATTGACTTATTTTTTCTTACATTCGTTTATTGAAAAATAATTTGAGTACAATGAAAACTTCCTCAATCGACAAGCACTAAAAATCTACATTTTTTTCGCTGTTATTTTTAATTATTACCCTCAAAGAAATAAATTATATAAAAGAAATTATTCCATTGTTAGTGCAACGCTGACATCCTAATTTTCAACAACGTCTTGAACAATTAGTTATTGATGCTTGGAATCAAATTCCACAATCTGTAACACGTGGTTATATTGACCATATTCAAGATGTTTGTTATCAAGTAATAGCGACTCAATGCTGGGAAAGTTTGGGATGAGTAGAACTTTGAATAATCATTAGGACACTGTTTCTTTTTTTGTATAAAAATTTGTTATCGTGCTTGTTGATATTGAATTTGAAAATAAAAAAGTAACAAAACAATAAAAAAATGACTTTTTAAAAGAATTTTATCAAAAAATGTCTACATGATATCTGAATAATATCTTAGAAAACGAGTTTAGGGCAACATAATTATACGTAGAATGATAGAGAATTTCATGCACTAACAATGGAATAATTTATTTCATATATAATAATTAAAAATAACAGTGAAAAAAATGTAGATTTTTAGTGCTTGTCGATTGAGGAAGTTTTCATTGTACTCAAATTATTTTTCAATAAACGAATGCAAGAAAAAATAAGTCAATATACAGGGTGATAGAGAACTTCACGGGCTTTCAGAATATGTAGTTTGTTTTAAATAAATGTGTTTTTATAGTGATAATAAATGAGAAATACAGAGTGAAACTATTTTTTCTCGGGGGGATAGATAAATCTTATATATGATGTTTATCAACTCCTATTCTATCATTGTATACATCATGTTAACATTGTTATTCAAATTTTGAAAAATGATTATAATTTTAGATTATGAATCTCTAAACTATTTCGCTTTTAAACTACGGAGGATGATATGTTAATATATCGAAACGTTTATTTAATATATATTTAATAAATATGAAAGAAAAAAGTTCAAAAAAATCTCTCAACTAGAATAAAATAGTTGAAACAAAATCGAACGTTTAAAGTTGAATAAGGGAAATTATCAAGGAAGACTATTAGTTAGGCATTAGCTCTCGGCCTAATAACGCTAACACGTGCATGTGTATCAAAATGTGTACGAGAAAAAAGATCTCATACACCGCTGGACTTCTGTTTGTAAAACAACATAAACATTCAATACCACGTAACTTTTGAGCAAAAAGCGAAATCTTACTTTTTGCTACCATAAGGAGGAAAAATCAGCAATCACTACTGCTCAAATCTTGTTCAAACAGGAAAATAAACGTGACACTTAAAGTGGTTAGATATAGAGACTTAATTAATCCAAGTTTATACTTGCGAGCTTGGCTGCTGTCATATAGCAGATAAAGGTTGGTACTGGTTGATTTTCGATATAAAGTGGTTTGGTATGATCGATCATATGAATAAGATACGTCTACATAATTCCCTAATTTTCTGTTCTTTTTCTTTTTTCATGTATGTAGCAGTTCTGTATTTCTTACTTGATTAAAACAAATCACAGTGTTATTGTTGTGATTTTTTATTGATATTTCGACGATGTTCACTCGTCATCATGAGAATAAACGAATGACACCAGATTTGATTCAATAAGAGTACAAAAAAGGACAAGAACAGAAAATTAGGGAATTAAGTAGACGTATCTTATTCATATGATCGATCATACCAAACCACTTTATATCGAAAACCAACCAGTACCAACCTTTATCTACTATATAACAGCAGCCAAGCTCGCAAGTACAAACTTGGATTAATTAAGTCGCTACATTTACAAATTCTAAGAATCTGCTCAAACAAAGACTCTATTAAAACAGAAACAGAAGAATTAATAAAAGTACTAATTAAAAATGTGTATCCTAATCACATCATCAGAAGACGATTAAGAGAAGTGATACATAAGAAAATAACAGGAACACAACAACAACAAATAATAGTTAAAAAGAAAGAAATATTTTTTATGCTATCTTATTAAAGGCAAGAATTCATGATTTTATCACAATAAATCAAAAGATTATGTAAAAAATTATTACCACGTGTAACTATAAATATTGCCTTCAAAAAGTCATGCACATTGAAAAATATCTTTCTTCCATTGCAAAAAGGTATCGATGAAACTAAGAAAAGTAAGAAAATAGTCTATTGTCTATTGTGTCAGATGCAATAATTGTGATTCAGTATATACAGGAGAAACAAATTGAGAAGAAACGACTCGTATGAAAGAACACAAAAAGGATATAATAAAAAGGAAACCTTCCTCAGTGTTAGCTCAACACTCGATCAACGAGAACCATGAATTTGATTTTGATAACTCCGAAACATTAACTCTAGAAACAATCTATTTTCTAACAATATATTTTATTAATTTTAAATCGTTGGTGCAGAAATAGAAATACTAAAATGAGATGCTATGTGAGGATTGTAAATACTTCCATAAGTATAACCGTTGTTATACATATCACTTCTTTCTTCGACAGATGTCGCACTTGATCGAGAACCTTCTAGATATCCTTTTCTGAATTCACCCAGTCCCGAGTAGTTCTCATCCTGAATTATTCTTCAATACGTTTAAAACTTTTAGCGTAAAATGCTGTCTTTTCAGCTAAATTTTGAATTAGGTTCATTCTAAAAAATATCTTTCATCAAAATGGTCCATATCCATCATTGTTTTAGTAACGTGTGGTAATGAAGAACAATTGTTTATCCAAACAATATTGAAACCAGATGTTGAAAAACGAGTAAAACAGGGAAAACAACTACCATCTGTTCTAGTGTTAGAATTTGATGCCGTTAGCCGTTTAATGTTTCATCGAAAAATGCCAAAAACAATTTCTTTTATTGAAAATAAATTAAAAAATTCGATAAAGTATACAACAATTGAATTTGAAAAATATCATTCGTTAGGTAATTATTGACTAAAATATTTAATGAAAATTATCATTACAACCATCATTATCGTAGGTAGAAATTCTAACAATAACCTTCGTCCACTATTGTGTGCTAGCGGACCACTTGGCTATGGACGATTAAACATTGAGAACAAAACGGCCCATTTACCGTGTACATTAGACAATTTTATTTTCAATGTATTTAAATCGAATGGTTATTCGACATCACTAATAACAAATATATGCTATGATTATATTGGAGGTTATTTTGGTGAAGCAGATGCTTATAATGTTGATTATGAATATGCGGCATGGTCGTGTCATCCAGAATATGATGTTTATGGAAACTGGAATTCTTACGATGGTCCATACGGTGTGAATCGTCGATGCATAAATGGAAAATATGTTCATAAATATCAAATGGATATTATTAAAGATTTTGTATATAAACATGTTGTCAAACAATTACCGTATTTTTCGTTTATATCATTTATAGAAGGACACGAATTTGGCTTGAATGTTTTAGGTAAGCAGTGATAGTATTGCTCGGCAGTAATAGTAAAAAATCGGGTGAATTTTTGTAGACATTTAAAGATTGAAAAATGATGATAAAGGTATAGGGCGGATAAGACCCTTTCCTGACCGAAAACATTTTCGATTTTTTTGCAATAGAACCATGTCAGAGGATGCTCAGGAACATTCCTAGACACTTAGTTTCGCGAAATCGTTCGGACAGGTTTTCGAAGCCTGAGGTCCCATGCATGGTTTCTGGAAACATTTCATTTTTGATTTTTTCCAAACCCGCCTGGTAATATGTAATCGACCGTGCTGATCACGAATATCCGTATTAGAAGTGTCGAAAATGGTTTGGTAAGGAGTAATCTTCAATTTACCTCAATTTTTCCGCCAGAAGGGATATTCTGATGCCCCTAGCCGAGGAAGCACCGAAAAAATAATGTTTCGGATGCAGAATATACAAAATGTAATGAAAATCGTGTTTTTCACGGTATTCGGTCTAGGTGACCCAGACAGCAATGTAGTCACATTGTCAAATTTTTACTCAATAAGCAGTTTTCACGCTCTCTCCGCTGATATTTAAGAAAAACCTGAAAAGATTGTGAAAGGGGTCCCGAGAAAATCTCCCGAAACGTTTTACAGAAATTCTGTAGGGAACCTCAGGCCTCAAAAACTTGACGGAGAGATTTCGTGTCTGGGAATGTTCCTGATCATCCCCTGACATGGTTCCAATGCAGAAAATCCGAAAATGTTTTCGGTCAGGAAAGGGTCTTCTCCGTTCTACTCCTTAAAAAATATCTGACAAAAAGCATTTTGAACATCCTATGTTCAAGCTAAAATATTCTACGAAACGTCTATTTTTCTAACAAGTTTCTTTACTGTTTTGCTTGTTGTTTGATAAAAAATTATTCTGTCGTCTCTTCTCGTCGTATATTCAACAAAATCTGAGTACAAAAGTAGCTATAACACCGCGTTTGCATCTAAATTATTTAAAGTAACGGGTCCTTCCCTTTGAAGCACTCAGGTCTACCAGTAGTATAAGTTTAAATTTAAACTGACGTTCTGCTCTTGAGAATAAATTTGGATCTTGAGTCGTTGAAAAATATAGTACGAGCTCTTTCGACATAAATTCAAGATAGTCAGCGCTTTGGATGATTTATTATTTGCCACAGTTGCGATTTCGGTTGCATTGTGGGTAAAAACTTTTGAGTTTGTGTCAATATCTACCTATCTACTTCTTTGAATCTTGTTTCCCTTTTATGTCTGATTTTTAAAATTAAAACTATGTTCTTAGTGACTTTCTGCAAATGCAAACATTGTAATGAGTGTGTACACTCGCTTATGTCCATTTTTGGGAAATGATTCCCAAAAAAGAACACTTTGCTCTTGGACTCCTGGACTTCAGGAGTCCATGGGAGTCCAGGAGTCCATAGGAGTCTAGGAGTCCGCTTTTTCCCCCTTGGGTTTTTGTCAAAGAAATTGTTGTCCTTTTAGACAAAATTCTTTTAAGAACGTTTGTGTCAAGAGTGCAGCTTCAGGTATGAAATGTTTCTACGATGATCTGAGTCAGAAGAAGAGCAAATTACGGGTACCAGAACATTTAAAGAAAAAAATACTTTTTATTTTAACATCTCTACTTTACAGAAGTCTAAATATTCCCCGAACATGAGAATATGATGATCATTATAATATATGTTTATTTTAGGTTTAGTCGATAATGATTTTGTTGAATTATTAGAACATTTAACATCACCATCATTCCATCAACAGCAACCGCCTATTATTTTCATATTAGCAGATCACGGTTTACATTATGGACCCATGTGGTCTAGAACAAGAGCTGGTCGTCTTGAATCACGTTTACCTATTCTAATTATCATTATACCGAATGAGTATTTGATGTCATCAGATAAAAAGCAAATGTTAATTCAAAATCAATTTCGACTTGTCACACCACGAGATATTTATTGGACGCTATTCAATATCGCTTCTCCTAAGAAGAATAATACGGTCAACGATTTTCGTCGACAAAGTTTATTTGATGATTTATCAGTGGAAAGAAATTGTTCTACAGAGGGCATACCTAAATGGTTGTGTGCCTGTAGTGAAGATGGAATCAAGATTAATCCCGCGCTACTTAGAAAAAAGAAACAGTGAGCCGGTCAGCGCAAATAATAAAAGTCTAAAACGATATAAGAAAAGTTCTAAATTAAGTTATTCTATGTATAGATAAATGTGTAGATATGACAGTGACACATACTGTTATGTCAGTCGTCACTGACATTCTTTACTCTTCCGCTTTTCTGTTCTCATGACCACAAAGAATGTTGACTCAGTTCTTCTTCAGTCAGCATTCTTTCAAAATCTATATATAGTGTTTGTTTGTATACACCAAGCGAGTTTTTTGCTTTGATGGTTCGTGTGATTTTATTCTTTCAAATAAAATCTGTGGAGGTTAACAATTGGTGCACTAGCCGACTTACTGTCCGCCCAACATCACACCCATGCAGATGAAAAAAGTCGTTCGAGGGGTGCGGCGAGAGCTCGAAAATCGGCCCTCGTCGAGGGCTCGACCCCTCGGAAAATGGCACTTCGGACCCTCGATATAATCTTTCGAGGGGTATCGATTTCGAGCCCTCGGATTTCAGTTAGGTAGCGAGCCCTCGAGAAAAATTTGGAGCCGTCGAATAGAGATGTTCGAGACTTCCGAGCCCTCGTTGCCCAAAGGTGCGATTTTCGGGACTTCCGAGCCCTCTCTATTTCCGCTACTTCGAGGGGCGACGAGGGCTCGGGAGTCCCCGGAAATCAGCTAGGGCTCGGAAATACCCCTCGAACGCTTATATAGAGGGTCCGAAGTGCCATTTTCCGAGGGGTGGAGCCCTCGGCGAAGGCCCATCGAAAGCACATTTCCGAGCACTCGAAGTACCCCTCGAACAACTGGTTGGGCAGTAAGTACAACCCACGGTGTTTCTTTTTTTCATCACAACACGATGCACCAGATTGCGACAGATATGCCCGAATATCAACATAGCAACTTTTCAACGCGAGTGATAAGATCTGCATTAGCCAAGGCGATTGAACACACCCCAAAATTTTCAGGTACGAGCCATGACAATATACAACACTAACTGTTAGAAATAGAGGAAACATTCGACATCATTAACCTGAATTCATCACATAGACTTCAACTAATACCCCTATACCTTGATGGCGAATCCAAGAATTGATAGCGATTAAACAAAGACAGCATTCATTCATGGCAGGAATTTGTGGGCACAATCTTGAACGTGTTTAGAAAATCTGATCAAAACCCTCTTGCACTTCACAAACTGAATAATCATAAACAACGATCCGATGAACCTGTGATTGAAAATTATAACATGATGATCAAATCACGTAATCAAACTGATCCGAACATGACTGATACTTCCAAACTAAACTATTTACAAATGGGTTTAAAGCGGTCATTGCAAGAAGACGTTTTTCGTCGTCGTCCAAAAACCGCAGCCCAGTTCTTACAAGTAGCACACGAAGAAGAATCATTACAAACGATTGTTCGTACCCATGCAGCATTAACTGATTCGGTTTTCATCGACTCCCTTCAATCCAAAGCTGACGTGAGTTTTCTCTTGTGTACCAGCACTATAGAATGTTCGTTTGAGTACGTTGTTCAATCTGTGAGGAAAATAATGGACCACTTGATCACCTTCTAATGCTTTCACTATATTGCTACCACGATCACATACAAAAGTTATTTTATCCATTAAATGATCGAGTCCGAACCGAGAGAGAGCAGAAGTAATTGCCTATTAAATAAGACAACGAAAAATAAAAGAAAGACGAATAGGAAAACAATCTTAAGTTCAGTATTGATCCTAACCTCAACTGTACTTCAACCACTAGATAGAACAAATGTGATTAAAGAAAAAGTTTTACAAAACGTTGACACGTATACAGAAAATGAGTTTGAAAATGAACCAACAACAGAAGCTATGGCGTCATTGTGCCCGACCACATGCTCAACACCATATCGACCAATTTCCAGTACAATATTATGGGATAAAAGTGCGTATTCTGCAACTCCGTTTATAAGGAATATACACAGACAGTTCTTCATTTAGAAACACCAACCACACAACGTCCAACATTAGCTCCGGCAATTGACTTAAACACTAGCGCATGGGATAAGGATATACCAAGTGATGATCATTTATCCGATTTGAACACTAGTGAATGGGATCATGGTAAGCTGTTCTATCAAAATAAATCGAAACAGTTCGTCAAATATTCTTCTATGCCTTTAGAATCAACGCCACTTGATTTATCTCAACCAACCATTACACCAACAGATAGTAGAATCATCATTAATTCAACTCAAAAAGATCCATTGGCTGCAATTAGGAGTACTTTACGTATAATAAAATCGATACCGCCTTCAGCCACAGAACCATCGCAACCAAGAAAATTTTTAAATCGGCAGGTCGGCGAAGTACTTACAGAAGATAAAGTTTTGAATCAACTAATACAGAAAGAATTAATATCCAGAAAACGTAAACCAACAAAAGGAACAAACACCAAATCAACGAAATAGTCAATGACAAGAAAGCAAAGAACTACTGATCCTTCTACGCCTGTTCAAAAACTCGATTTTAATGAACAATCTACAACAGTATTAACATCGTCACGTAAGGATAAACTCAATGCGGGAAAAATACACGAACTTCTGAAGGTTAACTGCTTTAGTTTGTTTAGAAACTCTTCCATCAGATAACTTTAATATTAATTCAACACCAATTTTCACGTCCATTCAAATGTACGAATCATCAAATACGCCAACGACATTTATAACACTAAGAAATATACCGAATCCACCACCATTATCAACATATTCTAATGCATTAACAAATTTTCCGACCTATTCAGCAACGTCATGTCTATCGTACACTACTTTTACTCATCCCTGTACAACTGGCTTTCCTAGCACGTTTCAAATACCCAATAGTTTTTATTTTCACTTTATGTACATTTTTCATTTAGATTCTTCAAACTTTCATTATGACCCATGGATGAATAATAGTCCATTTATACAGCCATGCCCATCTCAAACACCTACTAATACAGATAATAATTCAACTTGTTATAAATGTGCAAAACAATCATCTACGCTTGTTCGGTGCCTACAAGGTACAAGGCAATCGTGCCCTCCATGTTCTGGTCCACAGCGACCATTACTTTGTACTTTCTGTAACATCAAAAAACATTCGCAATCGACCGGTTGTTTTAATGATTAAGTATTCTTTTTGCTTCGTCAATTCTTCGTCGTTATTCTAACTTTTTGCCAAAGAAATATGTTTGAAAACAGTGTTCACAATAGAAATATGCAAAATATCTTGACTGATTTTCATGATATAAGCCTCGTCTTTTTTTCATTCGATTCAGAATCAAAACTTGCATACTAAGAACTCATAACATTATACAATTCATTTCATATGTGGTTAATTAAAATTATCAGTTAGAGTTAGACTATTAGTAAAATACGGTAAAAATTACAGACATACTTAGGATATCATAAAATTTCTTGCGTTTTAGGAATTACGAGCCACTTTTCGCATATGTTTAGGATGACGGTATTATTAACAACTTTTACACTCATGGTAGTATTGAAATCGATTTTCAGAAGTCTATATAGATGTTTCTTTGAAATCTCCATGTATTTCGATGGATTGACTCTTTTTACCCCAAAGCATAAAATTTAAAAAATGACACGTTCTATTGTGGTCTAATTAACTTAATGAAGGTAACAGATATGAAGATCAAAATCATATGGTTCGATAGAGGAAGAGTAGAGCTTCACAGTGATGTAATTTTTAATTAATTAGCACTCATCGTTAATGAGCTACGATGCTTTTAAAAAATCTCCATGTATTTCAATGGAGTGACTCCTTTTACCCCATCGACATAAGTGAGCTGACTCTTTTTACTCCGAGTGGGGTAAAAAGAGTCAGTCACAATCAATCGACTCTCATTTGAATATATCTGGAAAACCCACATAAATTTTCAAGAAGTTGTTGTACTATTGTGTAGATAATTGTTGGCTTTACTATTTTGGTGACTATCGAATTTTTTCAGTTAAAAACGGAGAAGAAATAGTGAAATTACGACGGAAATTTCGTGAACTGACTCTTTTTTTACCCCACAGTACTCTATATATGTCGATGTAACAATTAAAGGAACCAAAATTATACAAAATAAAATAAATCAGAATTTAAATGAATTGCTCCCTAACTAATATAAAGAATTACTCAAATAAAAGATGCAGTCGGATAAGGACAAAATTTAATAAAAGTATTACTAGAAGAACATCAAAACACTCCAAGATATTATAAATAGAAAACGTTGTCGATTTCGTTACTAGACTATTAAATTGAAATTCTTCTGTTTACTGTTCTTCTATAATGAAAGAATAGTCAGGAGATACAGGTACAGCAGAACAGAGGATTGCCGACTGGTCGGGGAAAAATTCATTTCTTTTTTTAATACACATTTTATTATTCGAACAAATTTCGAGGAAATGAAGAGTTTTGATTGATTATACAAGCCGAAAAATGAGATATTTCGGTATTAATCTATTTGTCTTCCACTCTAACATACCTACTTTCATGTTTTCTATCAAAGTTGGTAGATCATAGGTATGACTTATTTTTGAAAAATAATGATCGATCAGTGGCATTGATTTATTAATTTCGGACTCTACGTTCAGTAAAATAATCAAGAAGAAACTCCAGAAAATTACGAGTAAATGTAATATTCAGACTTTTCTCGAGGTTGAAAAGATAGAATATCGAAAAAACGAGTCATCATTCCTTTCTGTTTTGATTCAGACAAATACATTTCGTAAGAGAAAATTTTTTCATGAAGTCCTAACTGTTCAACATAACTCAGTTTAAGAGAAAAGTCATTTTTTTCTTTTAGAAAAGAAATAGCGCTTAAGAGCCATTAAAGATAAGCCACGACCTATTACCGTATAATTCTGCTCAATCAACTATCCGAGATTCCTTTCAAATTAGAGGGCTTGCTCTCACTTTTAGCAAAATGCGTCATTTTGGCAAACGGTTTTCTCCCGGAAAACCAAGCGAATTTCTTGCCCTCAATGATATTACTGGAGTACACCAACTATACTATCATGAGCTATTTTGGGATCTCTTAAAATGACTTAGGGAATCTAGTCGGAAGACCACGTTTCAGAGCCACCATTAAATCAGCATTTTCCTAGTACGAGACACTAAAAGAAAGATCAAAATCAACGTCTATAGGTAATTTTCGGCAAGGAATTCAATCGAGATACTGTCACAAGCTAATTCGTCCGTTAATATAGTCTTCTCCTGTAGTGCATAGCGTGGGTTCTGCCTTGAAAACTACTTTCAACTAGAGAAGGTCACCGGGTCTCGCTTTCTAAAACGGTTTTCAAGTGAAAATCACTGGTTTCTAGGTAATCGAGGATGCTAATTCTGAATCCAATCTCCATTACTACCTATAGTCTGTTTTCTCGTAGATCTCCAGAGGCCGGTCTCTTGAAAACCACACGGTTGTCAGATGAATTTTTCTGAGATCACTATTTTGTCGAGGGCATCATATCGCTTACACTTCGTTAATTTTTTTCCACCTCTATTATTTTTTTGTCCCAGTCAGAATTTCCATTATTCCCGTTCACTTCTAATCGACACTCTTTTCCCTAGCTTACCCACATCTTCATTTGTAAGCGTAAAAGGACGCAACGGAAAATAGGTAATTTGACGTGCTGTACAAAATAGTGATCTCAGAAAAAATTCATCTGAAAATCCTGTGGTTTTTAAGAGACCGGCTCTTCATTTCCTTCTACTTCTGAGTCAGAAATTAATATAATATTAGGCCCGACTTATTATACTCGTGGAAATAAATGATCTTATGAAGATGAAGAGGATTCAGACGGAGATGTGCCCGAACAGAAACATTAGAATAAGAAGGTTCAGAAGCAAAGAGAGCTTCAGAGCCATTGCAGATAAGCCACGATCAACCGTGCTCAATCGACTTTCTCCAAACTTGATTTCAATTACATAGATCAAAAGTACAATCAATAGTAAGTTTTTTGCCGTATATCGCAAGGTTGATACCCATACGGAAATTCGCCAGAAACAAGTAGTGGTTTTCTGGAAGACTAAGAGACTTCGTCTAGTTGAATAGACTTGAAAGAGAAGCAATCAACAATAAACGGGGAATCGTGGTAAACAACAGTGCAAAAAATTATTTTGTGTTTAAAGGACAGGCGTAATCGCACGTGCATCGTAATAGGAGAAAAGGAAAAAGAGTGGTGACCTTTTAGTTATTGCGTGTCTGAGTTGGAATGTTGAAAACAAGAAAAAAACAAGGTTTCTCGTTTTAATGTAACACATGTTCGTAATAACATAGGAAGCAGAACAGAAAAACGAGACGCCTTGTTTTTTTCTTGTTTTCAACATTCCAACTCAGACACGCAATAACTAAAAGGTCACCACTCTTTTTCCTTTTCTCCTATTACGATGCACGTGCGATTCTTCAAACTTCAATACACCTGTCCTTTAAACACAAAATAATTTTTTGCACTGTTATTCACCACGATTCCCCGTTTATTGTTGATTGCTTCTCTTTCAAGTGTCTATTCAACTAGACGAAGTTTCTTAGTCTTCCAGAAAGCCACTACTTGTTTCTGGCGAATTTAGAGTTTTTGCTTTTTCGCTCCAAAGTATTGAACAAATTCCGTATGGGTGTCAGCGTCGAAAGCTGCATAAAATCTTTTTGAATCATTCGGGAAGTAGAGCACACTCGAGACTTCGATATGTCGATCTCGCAAAAAAATCGACTACCATCGATTTCGAAATCATAGATGTACATAGGTGTAAAAGTAAAGCGAATCTTCCTCAGCATTCTAATGTTCATGACTGCACCGGATATCGTTCGGCAAAAGACTGAACGATGACGATAAGTATGGCAAAATGAAATTTTCCCGTATAGGAGGGCTAGAGAGCAATGGCTCCAGCTGCTGCTGTAAGATCACTAGCTGGCCGGCAAACGGAGAGTTATAGACAAAATACTGAGGATAGTACTTTTCGAACTTTCCCAATGGGCTTCATTTTGTAAATTCTATAATTCCATCAAAATAAGTCAGAAGAGGCAAAAACTTTTTGCATAATCCCAGATATGATTGTAGAATCCGAATATAGAATAAAAACCATAGGTTAATGTTTTGCTCGTGACTGCTTTTTCGCAGGATGCTTGATTCGCTCACAAGACGTCTCTTAAATACAAGTGTTAAATCGAATGACAACAAATTACCTTCACTTCTTAGTGATCATGAATCAGAAATGAGTTTTAAAGATGCTGATATCAATGATGATATTGTTCCTGTGATTCAGCCATTTGTAATCAAAGTAGCTCTATCAACTCTGAGTCTTAATTCTACTGACATTCCAACCACCTAGACAGGAAGAAGTGTACATCTACGTACAAAACCAAAACAATATAATGATTATAATATGATAACTCGTCCTTCTAGTACATCAGCATCAACTCCAAAACTAACTGCTTCCTCGTTAACCCGTACTTCATTATCTAATCGTTTACCTTCTGATAACTCATTAACACTTCACAGCTGTTTGGGGGTCCACTTGGACCCACTTTGCAGTTTTGGGTTTCTTACTCGGCAGCAGAGGCGGCGGAGTGTCATGAAATCAGGTGAGGCCCGGTGTTTTTTTCTTCTCCCGTCGAACTTTTATCAAAACGTCAAGTAATATAAGTCTCCTTTTATTCAATTCAACGATGAATTTAATCAGTTTGTAGAGAATTTCACGGGCTATCTAATTGTGTATAGCTAGAAGCTTGTATCCCTTTTTGGCAAGACTTTCTCACTATTGACCTTTCGACGCTCAATATCGTAGTGTATACTATATATAAAATGAGTATAAATACTTTTCTCTTGCAACATAAGGTGAATCTAAAAGATGCATTTTGTTCAAAATTCAACACTCTGTAAAACTATATGTGACTTGGCCGGTAAATATGTGTTTTTCCAGAGACAGACTCCATCAAGACCCTCCTTAGGACTTCTTGTCCCCCAAAACCTTTTTTGTGTGTTGACCATATGTATAATACTCCGTCCGACTCAATTTTGTTCGGAGATTACGAATATGGCGTTAAAACTGGTTGATAAGTAAATTAGATCAGAAAAAAACAAGTTTAAGACCCAAAATATACCCTATTCTGGTATACATTTTTGCAGTAAAGATTTTTTTTCCCATAGACGCAGATTGATTTCAGACCTCTATATGAATGTGGCAGATAGAGCTCATCTCATACAGTTTTTGACAAAATCACAAGTTGTTTCTGCATATCATTTGGATTTTACAGCTATTTTACTGCGCACTATGTGTATGATCGATTTTTTCATAAATGACCCTTTTTTCCTAGAAGAACTAGGGTCTATTACCCATTATCAAACTAGTTTGTACAGTTTTCATTGTTCTACAAGAATATGGTAAGACAACATCTTATTATATTACATTACCGAATCTCGATTTTTCCTCTTACATCAATACCGATTATAGACCTAAAACATGGTAACACCCATATCTCGGTAACCAGAAGGTATTAACCCAATCCCAATACAGATTTAGATCCACCGCGAGGAGCTCTACAAAACCAGATATGTAGCTTTCTGGTTCGACATACTTTTGAAATCCGACAGGGTCCTTTTCTGAACGATCAATTTTTTCATCGATCTAACATTCATGAACACATGCTCTTAAAACGTCGTTATTTGTTCAACATTGTTCCACCTGTTGCCTGAATGGAAAGAGGTTGTGGCTTTGCATTTTCAATACGTAGTGGAACATCAATTCTTCACTCGATTTCAAAACATCTGTTTTTAAGGTTTCCAACTTGAAAATAACGGAGATAGATAGGCATTAAACGAAATAAAATTGAGTAAGAATTATTTCTCAGGCGTTAGGTGCGAATGAAAAGGCATTGTATATTCGTGTTCAACTCATTCAGGCAGTCTGGTATGTGTAATCACTCTTTTGACCACTTTTTATTAAAAGAAGTCCATTTTATTTTGAAGAGAAACGACGTATCTATTATCCACAAGTGGGAGAAATTGATAACACCGGCTTTCAAACGATCTCTTCGAAAACCACTTTCTAAGTCTACAATTTCACACAGCAATTTATCGCTTTTTTTTATCGATAGATAGTTCAAAGTGTCCGGTACAAAATAATATCCAAGGAAAAGTTTCAGTTTGCTTGGTTCGGGAGCTCCGGACGTTTTTTCCGAAGCCCCAGGACTATTCTATTCTTCGTTCTGGGACTTTCAGAAATGCATGAAAACATAGGTTATCGCCCATGCTGGATCACGTGACAATGTTAGTTATCAGAACAAAATGCAAGGACGGAGTGAAAACCTGTACCAGACGAAATACGTCATTTTTGGCTTGATGTTGTACAGCTTACGTCATCTTTTCATGAAAGTGACTTTCGTGCTCCAGATCAGGGTAAAAGTTTCCACTTTCAAATAAGATGTATCACCTTAAACATCTCTTGAGTTTTTCACATGTATGTTCAGACACCTATTCACATTTACAAATCAAAACAGTAAAAAGACTCAGATTCTGCTTTAAGTCGATGGCAGTTAAACTAGAGACTTCAGAGGATTTGATAGTGGTCTGTTCACAAGATCTCATGAATGAAAAAAACTCACAATTCGCAGAACGCACTAATAGAGAAAAAGTAACACAAACATCGGCAGTGTGAAAACTTCTGCTCCAGAATATATGTGTTGAACTGTTTTGTACTCTAGGCAGTTATCTGAACGTGTTCAGAAGTCAGCAACGACGACTTGAAGCAAAAAGATCTAGTAGACTTTCAGAAATTACAGAATATAAGAATTTCGAGAAAAAATATGGCTTTAGATTAGTATGTGGTAATGGCAGCATACGAACTGACGAAGAGAAGATACAGCAGAAATTGAATTTGCTCTTTAAAATTTTACTTGCTTTTGTATCCTCGCGATCTATAGCATAATGCAGAAAAGAAGAAAAAGTACTATTCGACAGATGTTAGAGAGAAAAATTATACGAAACTAGTCTAACACAGAAATAGGCAAAAGTTTACTAATCAACGTCGAAAACCTCAACCACCAATGCTCAAATCACAAAGGGTATGAATACTGCACACTCTTAAATCGCAGTGTGAGAAGCACCACTTAATTCACTTACCTTTATGCTGATTGACACATGCTCACAAGATGTGCTGCATCACTAATGATACAACCGATAAGAAGGTTATTATAATTCAAGCATTTATGATTTTTTTAGTTGATTGACAACCGACCAGTCATTGCAAACGAGCCATTATAGAGCTTGCTCAATGGTCTTATGAGGTTGTCATAGACATTATATACCTTGTTTTGGGATTAAAGAATGATGAAGTAAATATCATGTGATTTAGTTAAGCAAAATAAAAGATGATATACTTTATGTATATGTGCTACGATACTGTAACTCTTTCGCATGTAAACCTAAAGTAAACTACTCAATCCACGAAATCGACTCAACGTTTTAATCTTGCTCAACTATAAAGAAGTGTGATAATCCTCTGACCATTCATCCAACCTAAAATGCTCTTTGTAGTGGGAAATACCGTCGCAATTGTGAAGGGAATTAGATGAATGATAACTTCTAAGGATATTAAAACATTTCTCGTGTGTACCACTTAAAACATCTGTTGCCGTAACACTAGACTTACATAGACTAGTTCATGTTATCATTCAAAAATGTACTTGTTTTCAAAAACTACAGCGTTTAATTTTTGTAATTTGTTTATGATCATAGTTACATAGAAATGTAATTGAACAATGACAATTGGAGTAGTTCATTAGCATTTTTTTCTCGAACACGTTCTGCCTCCTCAACAACTTGAGCAGTAGCAAAAATATTCGAAAACAATTACTTTGTACAAAATCTTTATAGTCTGAGAGCCTGCCATAACAATCTACAAAACAACAGCAATGATAAGTTATTTCTTTCCTTTCCTTGCTTGCAACTGCATTGTAACCTCGAGGAAATACACATTCATGTTTAGCGCGGAATAATAGAATGGTGAAATAAATAGATTGCAATTCTGCTGCACTCCACTTGCGATGTCGACAGGCTCTGTCTCTGCTAACAGCTGCCAAAATTTATCAATTCAATCAATAGATTTCCACTGCACCACTTTCACTGTGATTTTCTATTTCAGCTACTTTAAAAAAGATAAAGTTAAAGCTAAAGTTTTGTAAAAAGAAGAATGCAATCCTAGTATTATATAAGGCGCGCCTTCTTCCAAAAGAAAATGAGCAAATACAAGAAGAGACGCTTATAGAGAAAAAGTTATTTGTATTTTTACAGTAAAATAAAAGACAGTTATGCCTTTACACTATGTGAAACCTCAAAATAGATATTAGATTTAGCATTTTGTTTCTAAAAAATTTTGGTTATAAAAGTTACTTTCTTCGAGTTAAAGCTGCCTTTTTTGCTTGGACCGAAAGAGACGTATAGATTGCTATGGCAGAGAGTATCGTTTCAGCTTAAACATGAAATTTGCTGCTACATTTTAGGATTAGTGGGCATTAAAAGTTTTAAACGTTTTTTACGACTAATTCATTTTAACTTGAAGATAGAAACATTTATCGTACGGCGTTGTGTTGTGCTCTTGACGCCCAATTGTTCCTCTGAAAATTTTCAACTGAATTTGATGGAAGCTGCTGTTGTATTGACGCTGTTGTCAGTGAATCACTTTAAGTTTGTAACTGGTGACGCTCATGTATTTCCATAACATTTTTAAATTGTGCTAATGACACGAATGAGTGGTATTCAGCATATTGTTTTAACTCCACCCCTAATCCTTGCTTCAAATAATAAATACGTTGTTGATCTGTCACACAAATATCATATTCATGGCACAATTGATTTTTCTTTTCATAATATTCAGCAATAGATTCACGAATACCTTGTTGACGTTGTATCAATCTAAACAATAGTTCCTCAGGACTTGCCACTTGAGATGAGGGATAACGATTCATCGAACTTTCCAGAAGGTGTCACACTCATTCAGGCCACCTTTTTACACTCGCACTCCCATCTTATAGTAATTTGAGTTTTTAGCTGACAAAGTTTTCCAGAGCTTCTGGAAACCTCTTAGAGATCCTGAAACCATTGCCATGTAATTCACAATGGTTTTTAACCTATTTGAATGCATTTTGACGAGATTTGAGTGAAAAATGCGTTTTTTATTCAAAAATCCCTTGAAGGATTTCAAGATGTTCATATAGTACACGGAAGTATTTTTCACCAAAACACGTTTCAAAAAATCAAACGCTATAACTTTGTTGCGCGTCGAAAGCCGGTTCTTTTGGAGCAAGAATGAAGTCTCTAGGTATTCAGCAAAAAAACTAGTAGGCTTTGCCATTTTCCATAGTGCAAGCAAAGGGTGTAGGCCGCTTGGATTTGCGTAGGGAGGACGTTGTATGCGATCGAGCTCGAGACAACTTTTTTAGGCTCATTTTCATACGAGGAATCCGAATATCACGTCGAAAATTTCATAAAATGAAAAGTAAAATTTTTGGGGCAATTTTTCGGAAAACATAGATTTTTCGAGTTTTTGACAGTTTGTCAGTATTTTCCATTTTTCTCCGTCAAAACTTTGTTTAAATCAAAAAATAAGGCCAGATTCGGGATCAGCAGCATACAACGAATCCGAATATGTGTGTTTAAACGAAAAATAAAAAGTGCTGAAATTTTCAATTACCGGCGCCTTACCTCCGGGAATGTGATTAATGCTGATAGTTACCTTTATTTTCGACGCCATAAAGACTTTCCAGATTTTCTATGTTATTCAGATTCGGGATCTATATAAAGAATTGACTTCCTTATTTCTACCCTAGCTTTGATCTGTTAGCGAGTGTCACTCGACATCTTCTCTATTTATTATATGATCTGATCATCTTTGTTAGCTATATGGCGTGACCACCTTCTTTATTCGTTATATGGTCTGATCATCTTTGTTAACTATAGGGATTGATCGTCTTTCTTCTTTCCGTATATATATATAGTGTTCTAGTTTTTCTGTAGAAGAGATATGTTGATTATTGAATCTGTTTTAATAAAGGTGAAATATAGTCATCGTCATTCAAGAAGGTCAACCCGCTAACATTGGTGCACTAGCCGGTTGTTATCAATTTACAACATTGATAACAAATTCGAACGAATTACGGAGAAGAAGGAAAGTATTGGAGATTATTGGCATTACAATATTAATGTGATTTAGTGTAAGTGAATCAGAAGTTTAAACGTCACATTCATACGATTTACGATAGACAAGGAAGCAACCACAAGAAACAACAGCTCATATTGACAGTCAGTGTCTTGCGTCGGCATCAAATGTTGATTTATATGCGCAAATGGATAAACCAGCAAGCGAACAGCAGCTACGTCATTCATCGTCTTTTAATATTCAGATTGAGAACAATAATGGCAAACACAATCATCATAAAAAGAAATGGCTTTGGCAGAAGATGGTTTATGTTTGATTAACGAAGGTATAGATGATAGGCAAACAGAAATACAACATAATTCAACTGGTATTACTCAGCGTGGTGAAATACATGGTGACATGAGACGCCAACAACCAGAAATGGGAATAACGGGTGCTGGATATCATGCAACAATTAAACCTCTGACTATCAATAGAGAACAGAAATTTTAACAAAATTTCCATCTCAGGTGTCATTTAGACAGCGTCATCTTTCATTGGACTGGGACAATTTTCCAATTAACAACTCACCCTTACCTTTAGAAAATGTCATCATTCATGAACAACCAAATATATTACCCAATCGTGGCACGTCTCAGATTTTAAGCTAACAAGTTACCAGCAAAGTACCATTATCCTCATGTATAAGTAAGGTAATACACGCACAACAAGAAAAAATACTTGATATCCCGCAATTTTCTGGCGAATTGAAACACAATGTAAAACAGTGGCTTCGAATAATTCATCAAGCATGTGATGATCAAGAAATATCAGAACATGATGGCTATTTATTAGCCATTTCAAGACTAAGTGGTAGTGCACGCGATTTTTTTAAGTCTCATCGACAATACGCAATAACATGGAATTCGCTTGTTGATTTATTGATGAATCGTTATCCCTCATCTCAAGTGGCAAGTCCTGAGGAACTATTGTTTAGATTGATACAACGTCAACAAGGTATTCGTGAATCTATTGCTGAATATTATGAAAAGAAAAATCAATTGTGCCATGAATATGATATTTGTGTGACAGATCAACAACGTATTTATTATTTGAAGCAAGGATTAGGGGTGGAGTTAAAACAATATGCTGAATACCACTCATTCGTGTCATTAGCACAATTTAAAAATGTTATGGAAATACATGAGCGTCACCAGTTACAAACTTAAAGTGATTCACTGACAACAGCGTCAATACAACAGCAGCTTCCATCAAATTCAGTTGAAAATTTTCAGAGGAACAATTGGGCGTCAAGAGCACAACACAACGCCGTACGATAAATGTTTCTATCTTCAAGTTAAAATGAATTAGTCGTAAAAAACGTTTAAAACTTTTAATGCCCACTAATCCTAAAATGTAGCAGCAAATTTCATGTTTAAGCTGAAAAGATACTCTCTGCCATAGCAATCTATACGTCTCTTTCGGTCCAAGCAAAAAAGGCAGCTCTTTTCAAGGTTCAACACCAAAAAGTATTTATTGAGCGCGAAACGGGACCGATATATCTGCGGTTTCGAGACCCTCATCTTGCAAACCTATCGCACCTCTTTGGTTAACACATGAAGCCAAGTTTCATACGTCATTCGGTTCGCCCTGAAACGAAGAAAAAAAGTATTTTGACTTTTATTTTGTTGATGGCAATACATAAGCACAGATATACGATAGAGATCAGTAGAAACCTGAGTTTCAATTCCTCTTCGTTTGAGAGTATTGTCCGTTTAAAAAAAGAATGCCCCATTGCCATTTCTTGAATAATTTTTGATTGGCGAGAGCTAGAGAGCTGGGGTTGGCAGATATGGAAAGAGTAGACCATAGAGCATCTTTTCACCAGAGGAAATGCGTTTAGAAAGTTCTTTGAAAACCAGTTTTTCAAGGGGTTTTTGGAAAACTCATGCATAACAGAAGGATTTAAAATACAAGCCTATTAATTTTTTTACATCAGAAGATAGAGAAAAGTGTTCTCTCTTCAAAGTCAGATCCAAGTAATTGTGCGAAAATTTTTGCTTTGGGCGGGAGTGAGATTTTCCCGAGAGCCCGATTTCGGCCAGTTGACCTTGGGTCACCCTAAAATGGGTCAAGATCGGCCACGCTGAGGCGAGTGGTGATGTTTATTTTTAGTTTCGAACCGATCTAAAGTCACTATAACAAGATTTTCAAATTCCAGCATTCTGCCGCTATGATGCGTATAGAGCGGATATTTCGAAAATCTTGTTATAGTGACTTTAG